AGTGTCATTGTCACCCCTTCGCTACATGGACCACGTCTCTGGTACAACAGACCTACCATCAGCCAACTAGCTCTGGTCCCCGCCGTATCTATCCTGTTTCTATCCCTAATACCAAGTCGATGACTTGCCGTGCCCTAGTCTCTTGTGTGCCAACCCACAAATGTTGTGGTACAGCTTGTTTTGATTTTGTTTAATGTGTTACCATTATTAACCATTATCATTCTTACTACCTCTGTTTAGGCTCGGTTTACTAAAATGTTTCTCTTAAAATGTTACTTTGTCACAGCGATTTTTTTCTCTTATTTATTCAGCTCTGGGCTCTATCTTTGTTTTCGACCTAAGGAGCTCAATTAACATGGGACGACTTGTACATCGTTGGGTTGATGAGGGCTGCACCTCTGGCTCCAGCATTGCGCTTTCTCCTGCTTCAAATTGGACCGCTTGTGGGTAAGTAAATTTTCATAATATTTCCGACTGTGTTTAGAATCTACACCAGATTAGTCTGTCTGAGTTTTTGAGCCTTTTTTAGCATTATCCAATACCGTATGGGCAACTTAGTTTGACTAAAGTACCTTATTGGCATCCTTATTTATCTTCTATGTTTTTTCGACGTAGAAGGGTCTAAACTCACAAAGATATATAAGCATACATGCATAAAGATATTTTATGCATTTGGTTAATCTACATCAAGGTAAGCACAAAAAATGACGCGTTTGCAGTGTTCTTAAATTGATATGATTTCATTTTTGCAACTTGGTCGACAGGTAGATTTTATGGTATGTAACCGGTCATGAGTTATCTGCCACAGTATTTATGTTAATTTCTAGCATCGAAGAGTTGATTTGGTAGATTACAAGGTATTATTCAACATCGTCAGTGAGGAGTGCCATCCTTAGGACTAAGTTACAACTCATCAAATTGGCATGTGAAGACAATCTTTTGACCAATTTTCTTTTCAGTCATTACATATCTCCTCTATACTAGCCCCTAGCACTATGCTCATCCTTCACACCAATTTCATATGGCCAATTTACCTATTTGCATCCATTCATGTTATGTCTTTCAATACCACCGGTTTACGACTCCGTTTACAGGGCTTCTCTAAACCAATCAGCACTTCCACATAGCCATATTATCCTTTTAACTGGTCAACTGCTTTCTACTGGATATGAAAATCTCTGTCTATAAACCTTCGATTTCAGCCCCGTTTCCGTGTTTTCGATGATATTTTCACTTGATTTACTTTAGAAATATGATAGAACTTGTGCGGTAGTCTTAGCTAGGAGCTTCGCATCCTTAATGATAGATTAGTAAGACACTTATAAGCATGAAGTGTTGTTATTTATTTCAGAATCATACGAATTCTCTATTTGATTAGAGGCAGCCGCAGCTTCTGGGTCAACTTATTGGCGGGTACGCATTAGTCTTTTCCCGTTTCCCTTGCTTTCCTTTCATAATCTCAAACCTGCCTTCTCTTTATTGTAACTCGTATATTTCGGGGGTATTATTTCCTTTTATATATTCATTTCCATGAGTCATTTGAGTAAGACTGTCCAGTTTATCTTTCTCTGGATGGGAGTACTTTTAAGGGTTGCCTGTTATCATATATATCAGCTCATCATGGGCAGTCTAACAATCCATGCTTACTCAAAATTGAAAGGTAGCTTAACTTATATGCACTATTGAGTTCTACTACTAGGATAGTAAAACATATCTTATTTTGGTACAATCAAGCATGAACATCTTAAATGCATGAAATTTGTACTGATAAAACTCTGTCTTACTTTTCGATAATAATCAAGCACTAAATAATGTAGCTCCGCTGCAAAACTCCTTATCCTATTCCTTGCTCTATTGACTTTCTACTTCTTGATAGTCGTTTGCTACTACTTTTACATTAAAGTACTTTATACTACCGATTGAAACTTTTTCTGGCTTTAGAAGGAAATATATCCTAGCGAGGGCATCCAGATGCTCATGACTTAAAGACGGTAAAATTTAAGTTTTTATATCAACCAAACAGGCTTTACAGCATTTACATTGACTCTACTTATTTAATTATTATCTTGCTGATTGTTATACTTTGACGTCTTATGATTACTAGCATTTTATTTAGTGTGTGCCAATATTTGGGGATAGTGATAGCTATTCTTGATATTAATTGTTCTTAGGTATTTTTGAATTTTTATTCTGGTGACCATCTTTTCCTATCTTTTCCTATTTAAAGATGTTTTTAAGAAAGAGTCTTACCTAGTGCTTCACTTTTTACCTTTTCTTTAGTTCTGATAGTGGTTATGTAAACCTGTACAATTTTCAAACTGGCTTCCACCCGGCTACCTCGAATCCTAAGCCAACACACTCGATCGGCAATCTGACTAGCCGAGCTGATCTGCTTGCCTTTCATCCTTCCAACGAGTTGCTCTGTTTCGCCTCGTCTGCTCAGAAGGCAGCGATTCGCCTGGTAATATTTTATCTAACTCTTCTTGCATGTGTGAATTTGCTCGTTTCTCTGTTTCTCCTTTTTATCATTTTAAATATCATCCATAGGCCATTTATCTTCTAACTGTCGCCTTAAATTGATTAGGCTGAGATTTCAGATATGACTTCTCATTCTATGAAAAATAGAGATAAAGGTTGAAAAGGATGCTGGATTACTTAGCATTCAATTTATATATTTAATCCTCTACTCACATGGGCTCTGCGTCCCAATCCATTCTCCATGAGTCGTTAACAATCACTTAATTCATGTTATTTGAAATATTCAACAACTTTTGTGTGTTTATATTTCTAAACTTTTATATGCTTCCTATGCATCCTTACATAAGATACTTCCGACCATCACTGAGATTATTCCGAGCATTCCCGGCAAAATGTTGTTTCACTAAACGGGACCTTCATATTCCTGTTATACTTTATCATGTATCTTAATGTATATGTACTGAGTATCTATCTGCTTACCTTCTCGATCTATCAGCAATTGCCTTTGGTGCATACAAAGCTAAATTGATCATTTTTACGCTACAAGATTGTAATTCCAGGACTTTAAAAGTGTATATAGCAAAATTCCACTTTCATATACATACCTTACATGTAGATCCACTCCGGAGATTATATAGGCAGCCTAATTGTTGGTACGTGAAGTCTCACACAGTATATAAAAAGGAATATAACCACTGCCAGACCGATATTCAGGGTTTTATTTCATACAATCTCACTTTAAACACTTCATTCTTCGAAATAAGGTGTGCGTTACAAGGAATTATCTTGGATTATCCCCTCCACATGAAAG